TTTTGTTGGATTTCAAGTGTCTTTTGATAGAACGAGAGTGCAGTCGAGTACTCTCCCATCGAATCATGCACGCTGCCGATCTTGCTGTAGGTAGTAGCCAAATCGGGATGATTCGGAGGGAGAGATTTTTGTTGGATTTCAAGTGTCTTTTGATAGAACGAGAGTGCAGTCGTGTACTCTGCCATCGAATCATGCACGCTGCCGATGTTGCTGTAGGTAGTAGCCAAATAGGGATGATTCGGAGGGAGAGATTTTTGGTAGATTTCAAGTGTCTTTTGATAGAACGAGAGTGCCCCTTCATAATCGCCTTTTCTGCTCTTGATGAGGCCAAGCTGATTATTGAGATGAGCAACTTGATCGTTGCCAGATGCCGTCGACTCTAGTAATGTCTGGTAGACTTCTTGGGCTTTATCGAACTCACCAATTGTTATCATCAACCCTCCCAATCGGTGCCACCCAGTTCCTGCTCCTAGCTCGCCTCGCATGCATTCCGTGAGATCTCTGAGCTGTTCGTCGTCGTCACTTGTGAGTGCCAACTGCACTTGCCACACTTCATCATCAACCTGGTTGATGTCGCCGATTCGGAAAACTGAGTGCATTGAGAACAGAATCTCCTTTTCGGTATTCTCGTAGTAACTGATGTTATCCAGCAGTGGAGCGAACGGAGCTGATGTGTGAACTGGATCGATTTGCATGCAAAAGAGAATCGCCGTCATACCGGGCTTCGCACGTGCTTCACGTGCAAAGATCAGTGATACTTGCCGATCGGTACTCGTCGAGAGAAAACTGTTGAAAGATATGAGACCACCTTTACTCTTGCGCATCTTCTCGAACTCACTGTCGAGCATTCCTTGTCCTCGATAGACGGTGAATTGGGCTGGAGAGTCCAGTGCCCCGACGTGCAGTTGTTCGATTTGCTGGTGAAGATCTCGTAGGAAGAAGCCCATCTTAATAACAATTCCAACTTCTAGCATTCGGAGAGCTCGATTAAGCATGTGATATATGAAACACTCTCGCGTGTACCACCAAATGGGGGATCGGAGATGGTAGTCTCGTTCAAACTCCTCGATTATTTTCAGCTCAGTCTTGTTGCCTTTGAATAGCTCACGACAGAGAAGAACAAGTTTGCTCTTTGCATGTTCGTCATAGTGTATCTGGAGTAGGATCTCTTTGAGTAGTTGTGAGTACATGAACGACTGATCGAGCTCATTAGACACAATACTGATGGGAACTAAATCGTGATCACACTGACGAATGTCTCGTTTGAGTGAGTCACAGATGGGTTTAATCTCAGTGTACACACCGTTGACTTTGCTCCACTCCTTTGCCCACTGTTCATGTTTCGACTTGTTGCCACAAAATACGTAGATGGAGTGGACCTGAGACCAGTCATGGATGAGAGGCACAAACTGTTGCCCAAGAGCACCTGACACAATTAAGAAAGCTTTCTCATCCTTGACCTCACGGAGGAATTCGGCGCACTTGTCAATGTCAGTGAATGGATCGAGCGAATTAACGATTGCGCGAAGTCGAGTGATGGAATGGTGAAAATCCGATTCTGACTCGTCGATTTTCGAGTCCAACCAAATGAGAACAAAGTTCTGAACGAGGGTGCGAAGGCGTGATCGTGAATTTAAGCGATGACGGTTCTTATGTGAAGATGTTCCCGAAGCTGCCGGAAGTATGTTCTGTGTGGTCATTTTACTGGCTGATTTGGACATGGATGATGATGTAGGTTGTTCGGTAAATGTTGAGTTTGTTTTCTTCGTTAGTTTCCTATTGAACGAGCGTACTTATTTGTGAAAATTAGTTTTAATGTTGATCCAGCAGTGGCGAAAATTATATAGACATCTGAAGCGTTTGTCTAAAACAAGTATTCGATTTGGAGTAAGATAAGGAGATAAAACTAGCCCTTTCATGATCAGATTATTGTCCTTGACAAATAATTCATGATAAGTTTTGATTTATGAGGGCGGCAATATCCTGCACGTACAGATAATAATCATCTTATAAGTCAGATGTCTTTAATAAAACGACATAGAACATAGTCACGAGTCAGAATATAACCGAATCCGTTAACCTGATCTTTCTAAAAGACAATTTCTGCACTCGTCATTATTAGATATGTACCAAACCCAAAGCTTTTGGGATATGGGTCTGAAGGTTGCGTTTCAGTCTGTCCAAAACGTTATCGATCGCACGAATCTTGGAAATCCATGTGCTGCGCCCAATGGGTTTCTTAATTCATACTCTAAAGACAGCTCTACTTTTCTGCTCATTCTAACACTTTAAAATGAACACCTCGCACTTGTACAATTGGTTTACACGGTCGAACGTTAAATCCACTTTTTTCTGTTGGGCGATGGTTGTTTCTATCGCGTTTGATCTCAGACCGTATCTTACATCTGAAGCTATTTAAAGGTGCAAAAAGTAGACTTTCCGAGGGTTTCAAGTAGGCAAATTGGCAAAGACCTAACGCATTTGAATACCATAACGAGGAACAAGTGAAGCTTTTTG